GTTTGCGAGGATGTCTCAAGCGGCGGCTCCGCGGCTACGATGATGTTTCGAGCGGCGGCGCCTTCCCGCCCTCCCGCTATTGCCCCCATCTTGGGCGTGTGCTATCATCTGTTTGGCGCAGGGTCTGAGGGAGGCAATGATGTGATTGAGTCCGAGTGAGTTGCGGCGGCGGCCCAGCGGTTGTGAGGATGTCTCGAGCAGCGGCTCCGCGGCTGCGAGGATGTCCCCAGCGGCGGTGCCGCGGTTGTGATGATGTTTCGAGCGGCGGCTCCGCGGCTGCGAGGATGTCCCGAGCGGCGGTGCCGCGGTTGCGAGGAAACCCCGAGCTGCGGTGCCGCGGTTGTGAAGGTGTCTCGAGCGGCGGCGCCGCGGATGTGAGGATGTCTCGAGCGGCGGCGCCGCGGTTGCGAGGATGCCCCGAGCGGCGAGGATGCCCCGAACGGCGGCGCCGTGGTTGCGAGGATGTCCTGGGCGGCGACGTCGAGCGATTTCGCGATGCCCCGAGGGGAGGGGGTGCACCAGGCAGATAGCACACTGCCCCGAGGGGGGAACGCCCTCGCTCCTCTTCCTCCTCCTCCTCCTCCCCCTCCCCCTCCTCCTTCCTCCCTCCTCCTCCTCCCCTCCTCCTCCTCTCCCTCCTCCTCTCTCCCCCTCCTCCCTCTCCTCCCTCCTCCTCCTTCCTCCTCCTCATCATCTCATCATCATCATCATCATCATCATCATCATCATCATCATCATCATCATCATCATCATCATCATCATCATCATCATCATCCATCATCATCATCATCATCATCATCATCATCATCCTCATCATCATCATCATCATCATCATCATCATCATCCATCATCATCATCATCATCATCATCATCATCATCCTCGTCATCATCATCATCATCATCATCATCATCACCACCACCACCATCATCATCATCATCATCATCATCATTATCATCAGCATCATCATCCTCATCCTCATCCTCATCCTCAGCATCAGCATCAGCATCAGCATCAGCATCAGCATCAGCATCAGCATCATCATCATCATCATCATCATCATCATCATCATCATCATCCTGCTCCTTCGCATCGTTCCTCCTCCTCCTTTTCCTGCTGCTCCTCGTGCTGCACCCCCCTCGTCACTCGACGCGGGGCAGGAAACGCCCACAATGTTTGCTTCATGATGATGGGATCCCCCTCGTGATCCTCGTCTTCCTCTTGCTGCTCTCGTGCTCCTCGTGCTTTTCCTCCTCTTCCGTTTCTTCCTCCTCCTCCTCCTCCTCCTGCTCCTCCGCCTCCTCCTCCTCGACACCAACCAAAGGTAGAGACCCACGAAGCAGCAGCACGTCTGTAAGAGGGAGAGCAATGCCGAGAAATTCCGCGATGTCCCGAGGGGAGGGGGCGCACCAGACAGATGGCACACTGCCCCGAAGGGGGGGGGGGGGGGCGCCCTCGCTCTTCCTCCTCCTCCTCTGCCCCTTCTCATCGCTCATTCTCCTCCTCTCCTCCTCCTCCTCCCTCCTCCTCCTCCTCCCTCCTCCCTCCTCTCTCCTCCTCTCCTCTCCTCCTCCTCCTCCTCCTCCTCCTCCTCCTCCTCCTCCTCCTCTCCTTCTCCTGCTGCTCCTCGCGTTGCTCCCCCTCCTCACTCAACGCGGGAACCGCCCACACGTTGTTTCTCGTCATAAGGATGCTATAAGGATTTGTCATACTGATTGTTCTAGGGAGGGGTGAGGATGATGATGGGGGAGATCATCCTCGATGTGTAGAGGATGTTTCGAGCGAGACGGCTGTTTTGATGATCTCGGGGTCCCCCTCCGAAATCATGTTTGGAGGATGTCTCGAGCGAACCTGCATTCGGTTTAGCACCCGAGCAAGTTCGCGATGCCCCGAAAGGAGGGGGCGCACCAGACAGATAGCACAATTCGGCGGGGGGGGGAAACATTTCAAGACGCGTTGAAGGGGGGTCAGACAGGTAGCACAACGAACAAGGGTTTGTTTCCCATGCGCGCGCGCCAGGCAGATGGCACATCCAGTGGGCGAGTTTTGCAAACGCTATCTGATCGTCCCCCGTATACTCATCATCATCATCATCATCATCATCATCATCATCATCATCATCATCATCATCATCCTCATCATCATCCTCATCATCATCATCATCATCATCATCATCATCATCATCATCATCATCATCATCATCATCATCATCATCATCATCATCATCAACATCATCATCATCATCAGCATCAGCATCATCATCATCATCATCATCATCATCATCATCATCATCATCATCATCGTCATCAGCAGCATCATCAGAAGCATCATCATCATCAGCATCATCATCATCATCGTCGTCGTCGTCATCATCATCATCATCCATCATCATCATCAGAATCACCCTCATCATCGTCATCATCATCACCATCATCATCATCATCATCATCATCACCACCACCACCATCATCATCATCATCATGATCATCATCATCATCATCATCATCATCATGATCATCATCATCATCATCATTATTAGAAGTATCATAATCATCATCACCAGCATCAGCATCATGATCATCATCATCATCATCATCATCACCATCATCATCCTCGTCGTCGCCATCATCATCAACATCAGAAGCATCATCATCAAAATCAGAATCAGCATCATCATCATCCCTCTCCTCCTCCTCATCCTCCCCCTCCTCCTTCTCCTCCTCCTCCTCACTCTCTCCCTCTCTCTCTCTTCCTCTCTCTCCCAAAAGTGTTCCCCCTAAGAGGTTTCATAACGGCTTGGAGAACATGTACCCAAAGAGTTTGGCAAGACTTCAAGTGACTTCAACCCAACGTTTGGCCACGCAGGCGTTTCCAAAAGGCAGGCGTCGGCGGTGGTTCGCCGTAGGAACCTTCGATAAAATTCTGCACTGGAAGGGAGGAAGGACAAACACGCTAGCCGTCCACACTTGATCCAAACCCATACACAGTCCAGCCAGAGATTCTCTCTCTCTCTCTCTCGTCGGAGGGGGTACACGTCTCACTATCGCACCAGCTCCCATACGTTCTGGTATCGTCAACGACAAGATTGCAAAAACATTCCTGTTCTTTTATATAATACACACATATGCATATATATAAATATATATATATATATGTATATATATACATATGTACAGACTAATACACCTGTAGGCATACATATTATATACGTATGTTCCTATGTTTATTGTTTGTAAGGCGGGAGACGCCGGAAAGAGCAGATACACACACACACACACACACACATACACACACGTAACGAATTTGGCCCTCCCCGGGCCTCCGGGCAACCCTTTAGACGACCCAGGAGAATCTCACGAGAGCCCGAAGACGGCCCAGGACGGGTTCCAGGCGTTCCAGCGCGCTCCCGAAACGAACCCAGAGAGCCCCAATACGGTCCACGACGACCTCCAAGAAGCTGTCATATCCCCAAGAGGGCTCAAAGAGCACTCCCGAGAAGGCCCCAAAAGGCAAAAATCATTGAGTTTTGTTTAGGTTTTTTGTGAATTTGGGGGTTCTCCTCTTTTCGGCTGAATCGCCCCACAACCATCCGAAGGGGCTTCCAGGCAGTCCAAGAGAGCCCCGAAACGGCACAACAGGGGTTCAAGATGGCCCTAAGAAAGCCCCATGGCGACCCAAGATGGCCCCGAGACACCCTCCGAAGCATTTCAAATCGTGACCCGGTCGTTCAGGGAGACCGCAGTTGGAGGCAGGGTGGCCCGAGGAATCACCCAGAGGCCCCCAGAACACGCCCAGAGGCCCCCAGAAGGACTGAAGAAAGTTTGAACAACTTGTGTGAGGCCCCCAGAGGCTCTCCAAGGAGGAGCCTCCGCAAAAAGAGCTGACGAGGATGAGGAGAATGCGCAGGGTATGGCGAGAATGAGGAAAAAGAAGCATGGAGTAAGGATCACGAAAAACATTATGATAACGGCGATGCCGGAAAAGGCAACAAGAAGTTATCGCCAAATTGTCGGCTTGACCTTCCTGCCATTCCGCCTGCACACCAAACTTCAAGGACCAAGGCGCATGGCGCGAAGCGCCACTGCAGTCTTGTGCGATGATATGTGTATGATCCAGAGCTCCGGGCCCCCCGACCCCCCAAACTCATGGGATCCAGCTCCCCCGCTGGATGGGTACGCCCGTGAGCCTCGCGAAGGCCTCGAGAATGGGATCGCACCCCCCCCCCCCCGTGCAGTCGTGGCCCTGTGGGCGTGGCGTGGTGAATGGGGGTGCCAGTGCCCCCGCCCCTCCCCCTTGTGGGTGTGGGGTGTTGCTGCGGTGCCGTCGTCGACGTCGTCGTCGTCATCCTCGTCCTCGTCCTCGTCCTCGTCCTCCCCCCTACCCCACCCCACCACATCTGGATCTGGGGGTGGCCTGTGAACCCTGACCCAGGATCAGATATGTATCGTAGTGTCTCTCGCGCTCTCTGGTTCTCTCTGTCAGCCTGTTTCTGGCATTATGTTGTTGAAAGAACGAATGCGAACCTGCGGGTGGGTGGCCGAAATGATCGACAAAATAATGAGGTCTCCTGGATGTGCACTACGACACAGGCCCGTGACACGATCCAGGAACATCGGAAGATGAGGAAAATCGGGATATGGACATAGGCCGTAAGATCAAATAGGTACAAACAGGCCGCTCTATGGCATGCTCCCAATAGCAATTCTGGACATGCTACGAAAACGCAGCATGTGCTTCTCTAACCTGCACAACAAAGCTGATATGCCCCTAGTGTGATCATTCGATGTCAGGTATATGCAATACCGCTAACAGGCTTCTATATCAGATCGCAATGCCAAGCTGATTGCCAGAGAATGCATAGCAGAATCAGCAGGATGGCTCTCAGACGAATCGCGAATCGCACCCCGCAAGGCGTGCCAGATATAGGACAAGATGGGCAGAGGGCGAAGCATCGAGCATTCGTCCCTGGAAAAACATCAAAAGGACGTGCGGGCGGGCGCACATTGTCTTCTTGTCTCCGAACATACCCGTCAGGCCCCCCATCCAGCCAGTCTTCTTGTAGTGTTCCTCGGCCGCGCGAGGGCTCAATGAGCCTGCAGAGGGCGCGCCCGCCCTGGCTTATGCACACAAAGGGCGGCGCGCCCGCACTGGCTCTTGCCGCGCCGCGCCGCGCAGAAGGCGCGCGGTCGGAGGTCCAGGCGGGGTGCAGAGAGAAGAGTGCCGTCGAGGCAGGGGCCGGGGCGCGGAGCGGCAGAGAGTTCGGGGCGGAGGGGGCGCGGGGGCTGTCACGGGGGGGGCAGTTGGTGCTGGAGCGCGGGTAGAGATGGGGCTTAGGGCGCGATAGGGTGCGGCAGTGCCACGCTCTGCCACGATGCCGTGCGAGGGACGCGGTAAGATGTGGCGGTGCTGCGCGCGGTGCACGAGACGACAGAGGGGTCGGGTTGGAAAACGGCTGGGGCTGCCATGAAGGACAAAAACTGCTGGGGCGTGTACAAATGTGGCTGGGGCGTGGTCCGCGCAGCCGTGCGAAAATCAAACGATCAGATCTCTAGAAACAATGCGCGATTCAAAACTCCCAAAAACACTGGCAGCGAAGCCGAAGCGACAAGGAGTCGATTTACACTGAGTAGGCACGAAGGGCAGGGAAACGAAGCTGGTGTTACTGCGCAATGCCAATACCTGCTGCCTGTCACCCCGCCTGCGCAAGGTTTTTCGAACATGGCACCGACCCAGGACAGCCAGAGGGCGGCCCACAACAAACACACGATGTGTTCGCACACGCCCAGGAATCATCCCGGAACACCCACAGCGGCCCCAAGCGTTCCCCAACAAGCACCAGACTGCCTAAGAGATTACCAACAGCGATTTTGAAACTCCTGCCAACAGGTTTTTGGAAATTGCCCTGGCGAAACACCCAACCAAATGCAATTGTGCATACTGCAGCTGTGACGACCGTCGCCAGTGGATCTCCATATGGTGCCACAAGACGTGTGAATGGCGCACACAAGTAAAGAGGAAACGCTTGCGAAGTGTGCCACTAGGGCTTCGGGGGGGCTCCCACGAAGCGTGTGAAGGGTGTGCCGACATGAAGTGGGGGAACCGCATACGAACTGTGCCACACGTACATTCGGTGGAGCTCCATCTGGGGCCACGAAGCGTGTGGGGGGGGGGCGTGCCGACCAGGGGAACATGCGAGCTGTGCCATGGGTGCCTTCGGTGAAGCTCCTATGGGCCCACGAAACGTGCGAGGAAACAGCTGGCATGGCGGATAACCGCACGAGAACTGCCCCACTGGGGCCTTCGGAGGAGCTCCCCTGTGGGCTCACGAAACGCGTGAGGAGTGTGCGGGAATTGGGGGGGCACCATGCGAACAATGCCGCAGGAGCCTTTGGACGAGCTCCCTTTGGGGCCCCAAAGCGTGGGGAGGTCTGCCGAAGTAGCCAGGAGGACCTATACAAAATCACTCCTTGGGTGCTTCGGTGGAGCTCCCCGTGGGGCCACGAAACGTGTGAGGGGTGGGTATGCCAACATGGGCGGGGGTGCGATGCGAACTGTGACCCTGGGGCCTTCGTTCATTGGAAATCCTTTTCGGACCACGATGGGTATGAGGGGTGAGCCGACATGAGCTAGGGGGCACCACCCGAACTCCCTCCCTGGGACCTTGGGTGGAGCTCCTGGGCCACACATGCAGGCTGGGCGTTCCATCCCGACTGGCGAGCACCCCGTCGATGGGTGCAGACGATGCGCGCGCGCACGACCAGCCAGCAGGGGCCGGCGCACGGATCTGCCCCCCGTGGCCGTCACCACCGCGCGACGCTCTGAGCGCAGCCACCCGGGGGACGGGAGGGAAAAGGAAACGCGCGCCGGTGCCTTCACGTGGGCCCACGGCGCCCCTTTGTCTAATCGATCGCGCCTGCGAAATGCGCACCGCGGCCTCCACACGGGCCGCGGCGTGCCGACGAAGAGACGTCGCCCGCGAGCGCGGCGGGTGCGCGGCGCGGGCGGCTGAGCGAACAAGAGAGGAGCAAGCAAGGCTTACATCGCACTTGCGCCCGACACGCAGGTGCACTCACCGCGCCTGCACCCTGCGCGCGACGGTCGGGCGGCGCCGCGCGCGGCCTCGGACGGCCGCGCTGAGCGCCTTGGGCACCGCGCCTCATCTGTGACCGCCCACAGGGGCACCTCAGACCACCCGTCACTGGTCACCCGCGGGGCCACCACAAATACAGGCTGGGCCTCTGACGCCGACGAACGAGCACCCCGTGGACGAATGCGGACGCCGCGCGGGCGCGTGACCAGCCAGCGGGGGCGGGCGCGCGGACCTGCCACGCGCGGCCGTCGCCGCCGCGCGACGCCCACGCGGCCGCGCCCCACGCGGGGCGCAGCCACCCACTGCAAACGGCACCAGAAGGAATCGCGACGGCGGCCCGCGCGGCGCCCGCGCGCCCGCGCTCCCTCCCCAGCACTGACGGGGGCCGGCGGGCACGGGCGGAGAGACGGAATGGCGCGCGAGGCGAGACGCGCCCCGACGCGAGCGGGAGCTGTACCGCGACGGGAGCGGCATGCTGCCATGCGTGCACATCACTGTCGGAATCGGTCTCTGCAGCGCGCGCCTGTCGCGCGAGGCCCGGACCAGCCGCCCCGCTGCGCGACGAACGATGGACAGCCCCAACGGTAGTAAGCAAGGAATGAACACCTGGGGCGCGCGCGCTATAGCAGGCGGCGGCGGCATTACACACGGCGTCGCTGGAGCACCCCATTCGACAGCACGCAGGTGGCCGACGGCGGAGCGCCAGACAACTGCAGGTCCTCGGCGCGGCCACCCCGAAATTATCTTCGCGTGAGGACGCTACCACCCAGGGGATGTTTCGTCCTCCGAATGTGCAACATTATCTCCTCGTCAGCGCAGTGGAATGCCGATCGAAACATGTGACATTGTTTTTTGTCGACAAGCTTCACCGCGGGAAGCGCCTTGCTTGGCGTCCGCAGTAGGACGGCATAATGATGCGAACAGGTACAGTATCGAGTACGCATGCGCAGTGGTCGCAGTCTGGGCAGCACGTCGCGCTACAGGAAGAGCTTCTCGCGCAGGACGAAGTTCCTGCGAGCGCAAATTGTAGAAGACAGCTGTGCACCAACAGCAGTAAGGCTGCACACCGCTGCGCCATAGATCCGCGCGCGTTCCATTTCGCACCACCAAGACATCGGTAGCGGCTGAATTGCCTGCCACATGCGGCATACTGCTATCGCTGCGCGTGACCCGCCCTGCACTGGGGACGCCAACGAACCTCGCCATCGTTAAAGGCCAGCACGAGATCGCGCGCATCCGCGCTAAGCTCGCTGGCCATTAGCACTGCGCGGTGCACTCGCACACGCAGCTGAGCCTGCCCGGCAGCATGAGTTTGCATGGAGACCAGGGAATAACAGTTGATGAGCGCGCTCTTAGCGAATGCCGCGCTGGCGGTAGAAATGCGATGGACTCACGAACACCTGGGCGAGGCCAATAGGCGCGCGGCGCGCCCCGAACTGCGTGATGAGGGCGTACTCTTCGCGGCTCGGCATCGTCGGCGAAGTTTACTTCGATCGGCACTCGTTTAATGACGACGCACATGTCGAGCGCCCAGACCACCGGCCAAAACGCAAGAGCGAGAGCGCGGTGATCTGCCGCGTTCGCGCGCGCAGGACTTCTCAAGAAGTGCCTCAGCGGCCACATTGTCGCTGAGCGCTAACATTTCACAGCCGTGAAGGGAGCATTCCCAGGAGCATAGTCCGAGGGCAACGGCCACAATCTCGAGCCAAGTCATCTGCAAGTCGGCGCGCGGTAAGAATTGGCCGCGCGCCACAGACTGCGCGGCGCAATTGATATCCCAGCGCGACGGCAGGCGGCTCCACCCCATGACGTCGCCACGCGTCGTCTAGAGACGCGCACGGCGGCCTTCACGCGGGCCTGCGGCGCCCATCTTTCTGATCGATCGCCACTGCGAACGCGAGCCACCGCCTTCACGCGGGCCGCGGCGCGCTGACCAAGACGGCGCCCGCGAGGGCGGCGGGCGCGAGGCGCAGGCGGCCGCTGGCGGGCCATGCGCCGCGCCGCCCTCCGCGCCTCGCCGCTGACCAAACAAGAAAAGAGCGAGGCTTACGTCGCGCCTGCGCCCGACACGCAGGTGCAACCCACCGCGCCTGCCCCGCGCGCTCACCGCGTCTGCACCGCGCGCGCGACCGTCGGGCGGCGCCGCGCGCGGCCTCGGCAAGCCGCGCTGAGCGCCTCGGCCACCGCGCCTCATTTGCGACCGCCCACAGGGACACCTCTGACCCCTCCGTCACTGGCTACCCGTGGGCCCACCACGAAGCGTGTGAGGGGTGTGCCGAAAGGGGCTGCGGGGCGCTATGCGAACTGCGCCTCTGGGGCATCGGCTGGAGCTCCCCATGGGGCCGAGAAACGCCCGGGGGTTGTGCCGAGACTTGCGGGGGGACTCTATCCGAAGTATGCCCCTGGGTAGTTGGAGCTCCCTGTGGCGCCACGAAACGTGTGAGGGGTGAGCCGAAATGGGCTGGGGGACGCTTTGCGAACTGTGCCCCCGGGGGCCGCCGCTGGAGCTCCCCGTGGAGCCACGAAAAGCGTGAGGGGCGCGTCGAGATTGACCAGAGAGCGGTGTGCGAACTGTGCCCTCGGGGCCTCAATTGGAGCTCCCCATGAGGCCGCGAAACGTGAGGGGTGTGACAACGTGGGCCGGGGGTGCGCTAGGCGAACCGTGCCCCTGGGGCCTTCGTTGGAGCCCCCCATGTGGTCGCGAAACGCGCTAGGGGCATGCCCGAATGGATGCGCGGAGGGCAGAGGCAGGCATGGGAGGACGAGGCGGGATGAGGAGAAGGAGGAGGAGGAGGAGGAGGAGGAGAAGGAGGAAGAGGAGGAGAAAGAGGAGGAGGAGGAGGACGACGACGACGACGACGACGAGACGCAGACTCTAGCTTCCCCGTGAAGGTCATCAGCCTCGACTTCGCTCACGACCTGCACGGGGGGAACCTACTACAACCCGAAGCAAAAACAAACTAGATCGCACTCATGC